TTAATCACCCTTATGACAGTTTTGATGCAGCAAAGTCAAGATTAAGGAATACAATTAGTTTTGAGTCAAACACGAAGTAATTAAGATTATTAAGATTAAGACCGCTGTCCAATGGCACAGATTTGATTGCAAGCAAAGTTAGAAAAAAGTCGTTTATGGAACCAGCAGATAGTCAAAGAGAAAAAAAATTAGGCGTCTAGTGTCAAAGATAAAACTGAACTTCAGAACAGTATCTTTCTGCATTGAAATGTAAAAGAAACTATGAAAAAGATTCATCACTAGCTTTAAAGACCTCTTGAGGGATGTGGATGACATAGTGCTGGTGCTAAGTGACGCTATAAATGATCTACTGGCATTTGCAGCAAGCATGTGCGACGCGGCGCTCAGAGGAAGCTGCACCTATACGTCAAAAAGATACTGTAAACGTCTGAGGCGAGTGATAAGGGTTCCATAGGTTGACACAATACGACGACAGAGAAGGTAGATCATTCCAACCTTTTGAAACAGCATAGGACTGATATAATCATGTTTTAGACCCATTTGGTTCGGCCACCAATGAGCAGTCTCCTAGTGATATCCAGTATTCCTACATAGCGATGGAGTATGATTTTCCCAAACTTCCTTCCAGTCGCGAGTAAACTTACAGCTATGAAGTGTCAAAAACTGAGCATCGACATAGCCATGAATATTGTTCAGTTCGCCAAGTAGAAACCTTGAAACGCCTGCAAAAGACATGCGCAACGACCAAAGCCCGCAATTTCGTGCATTAACTGGCCATAACGAGTGGAGCCGGTGAGGCGCACACTGAACAAACGGCAAATTTGGCTACAATATACTTCATAGTTGAACAATGTACTTCATTTGGCTTAAAATAAATACCAGAGGAAGCCACACCAATCTCGACAACGCAGTGGTGGCTACCACAAAGTGTTACTCATTATTCCTCTACCCTAGCAGCCCGCTCTCTCGAATATCCCCCTCTCCTGCCTGAAACCTGAAAGACCTTGACCATG